GGAGAGGAGAGGAGAGGGGAGGGGAAGGGAGGGGAGGAGAGGGGAGGAGAGGGGAGGGTAGGGGAGGATAGGGGAGGGGAGGAGAGGGGAGAGGAGAGAGGAGGCGAGGAGAAAGAAGAGCAGAGAAGGGAAGAGAGGTGAGAAACACAGCACACACACACACACACACACACACACACACACACACACACACACAGAGTGAGAGACAGAGAGAAAGAGAGAGAGAGGAATTTTTTATAAAGACTTGGTACATTAAAGCTAATGAACAGGAAATCAGCATGATAAAACAGATCTTTCAGTTTAAAGACTTACAGTTGTGAAAACTATGAAATACAGCCTGTTTTTGGAACCATAGTGCTTATTTATTCATTACTATGTTTCACTTAAACTGTCTTATTACATTTGTGTACTAAAATGGAATAGAACGGTATGCAAAGGGCGATCTGCCCACTTCAAGGAGAGTTCAACGAAAGTATGCAGAAATCACTAAATGAACCATGCTGCCAAAGGCAGGCATTGGAAAGAAAACTAGAAATAGCTAAATACTTTTCATTCTTACCTGTCTACAGACACATAGATTTTAACAAAGGAATACCATGGTATAGACTTGAGCCTTTTTGTCTTGGTTAAACACACTAGGCTGCAGTGATAAAACAGAATGCAACAGAGACCTAATAGGAAAAAAGTGGATCTGGATGTGTTTTCTTGGGAAGCTGTTTAAAACATTGTTTGGGGGAAAGCATAAATTTCATAACAGTCACTGTAGGCATTGTATTCATTGTTCCATTTATTTTCACACACACACACACACACACACACACACACACACACACACACACACACTCTGCTATGTGTACCTAAAAATAATTTGGAAGAACCTATATCCATCAATTTGGAGTGGTCGTTTCTTTGGGATGACTGGCAATTCCCTTTCTATTCTCTTCATTTCTGCTTGTTTGTCTTTAATGAGAAGGACTTGTCATTCAAAAATTTAAAAAAGTATAAAACTATCTAAATAAGAAATTCCTCTCTGAAGATGCATCCTCAGGTTGAGGAGATATCAAACAATGGGAAAAAGCTCTAATCTGGGATCTGAACCTTGGGGGAGCTGCCCACCATTTATAGAAGCACAGTCTTTGGAAACAAAGCAAAGTCATCAGCAATGTGAGGCTTCCTGGTTTTCATGGCTTCATACGGTCATCCATCACTGTTATGTTAATGACCATGATCTGTATGTTAGCAGGTAAATGGGAAAGGAAGTGGGGGCAAAGAAGTATGTGCAGGAATGATCAAAATAAGGCAAGGAAGAGAGGGATCTGGAAATCACCTGAATGCCGACAGGTGAACAGATAGAATTCTTTCAAAGCATTTTTATTTTTTTTTTTTCCACAAGAAACCCCTTTTCAGCTTTGGAAGTTTCACTGGGACATACAGTGCCCATCCTCTGATGTCACCTCACATTTGGCTCTTCTGATTTGATGAGCTTGCAGCCCACTAGGAGCTCAAGGGAGTCATGGGGCCACTTGCCAGCACAATAGGGGGCATGACTGTCATGGCCAAGTGAACATCAAAGTAGATCCCCAGGGCTGTATGTTTCAGGCCTTGCTGCACATCAGAATCACTTAGAAACATCCATATTCCTGGGCCCTTGCACCACAAACTGACTGCTTCTGTCTCATCCAGGGCGTGGTCCAGGCATCAGGAATTTTTCCAACAGCTCCACAGCTGATTCTCAACAGGCAGCCAGGCAGAAAACCACTGGCCCAGAGCAAGGGTAGAGGCAGCATGGCATAGGGCTCTGATCTTGGCCTTGACACTGAACCTCTCAGGGCCCATTTCCTTATGTGTAAAATGAGTGTAATTGTAGTTTTTTTCTTATGAAGCTGCTGTGACTATTAAGTGCAATGGGGCACATTGTATGACACCTAGTCGCTCCTCACTAACTGGTACCTGGCATTATAGGGCAGGTCTGGAAGTGTCCTGGGGGTCCAATCCCCTTCTTAAAGACAGGGAGGTGTCTAAGACCCAGAGAGGGGCAGGACTTGCCCAGAGTTGCTCAGCCACAGGGCAACAAGGCCCAGGTCAGATGCAGGGCCCTCCACCATCACTCAGCTGCCTCCAGACCCACTGCCTTTGCCATGCTGATGGCAGGACACTGCATCACTCTTGCAGAAGGGGCTTATCAACTTGAGTGAGAACACTTGCACACTTCTTTTACTTTTCTTTTGAGATGCCTACAACCTGAACAAGGGCACTTTAAGGGACAGCCCTGTCACCAAACTCATCTGAGGCCCGAATACCATCGGTCAGGCAGGAATGGGTTGGAGAGGGGTATAGCAGGCACAATAAGAGGTCTGAGGCCCATGCAGTCATCTGTGCCCACTTTCCCAGGAGACTGAGTGGGCACAGCACCCATAGTGCCCCTGAGCTGGCCCATGGAGCAGCTTACTAACTGTTTGGCCCACAGCAGGTGCTCAGTAAATGGCAGGTGAATGAATCAATGGACAAGGAAATGTAAACGGCCCAACACAGGAAGTTCAGCCATTTACTCAATCCATTGCGGAGCAACCTACAAACAAGCCATGGGTCCCAAACTGAAATTGTGTCTCTTCTACATTCCCCCAAGGAATCCAAAACGATCCAATAGGTTAAAAATAGAAATGTATGAAATAGATCAATCAGGGATGATTGCTTGTGGGTTTGACATAAGGATCCCCTGCAGGGAGTCTGAACTGGCAACAGTCAGGCCCAATGTGCAGTTCATGATGTCTTGAACTGCAAGACAGTTGTAGCAATGGCAAAACAATGCAGAACCAGGCAGGCCAAGGATGAGTAGGCAATGGGGAAAGGAGGGGAGGGCAGGGGCTGTGAGGGGCAATGGCTTGGCATCCCTGCCAGGTGAGCCTCTGTAATTTGCTGGCAGCTTCTGTGGGCTCCCAGAGCTCTCACTTAATTGTTCATCTGCCATTAACCTGCTGGAAGTAAGGTGCAGAGATGGAGGAGGCAGGGCATGACCACCAGACACTAAAGGTACCAGCAGGGGCCACTGGCAAAGGAAAGGAGGCTGCACCTCCCCTACATGACAGCCTGTGTACACACACCTTTTCCAGCACCCATCAACTACATCCCAAGCAAATGGTCCGTGATCAATCCCAATTCTAGTAAGCAACTGACCCCTCAGTAACAAAGCAGATCCCAGGAAGCCCCCATTGCTGGAGCGGATGTTACCTTTGCTATGCCAAGCCTGTTGCTGGACACTCATTGAATGTTTCAGGAGGATGCCTAATAAAGAGGGCAGGCTTACCTGGCTGTTCTCAGGGGTGGGATTGGGGATGCTGACTGAGGCTGCTGTTTTGGCAGAATGGCAGGCTGCAAGCCTCTTCTGAGCTTTCATTTTTCAATAGACTTCAATGAGACTCTACTTTGTCAGAGGCCATGCAGCTCCATGTTTTGGATTTCACGGAACGAGCTTTCAACAGTGACCCTGAAGTGCCCTGGCTGAGCAGCAAGAACACCAGCCAACCCTAAACAAGGCCAAGGAGCGGTGGCTGTGTTTACACGGAAGTGCTCAGTCTCACTGTAATAGCATCTGCTTTCACCAGACATCAGTGAAGCATGGAAATCTATTATCCAGTTAATTTTGCCCCCTAGATAAACGCTTGCTTTCGTGTCTCCTCTTTCGCAGTTACTGCGAGAAGTTGGCTGGGCTTTCCCCTGTGCCCAGTGCCACACTCATGCCTTCACTGGGTCACTTATGCCTGTGGCTGATGCCACTGAGATTTTGCCTGCCCAGACTGGGTGTTTCTGACTAAATCCCACAGCCACCATTTTAGATCAAGGGCAGGAGATAGCTCACTGCTCCGGAATGATCTCCCCTCCCAGCATCCTGGGGCGGGGGTGGGTGGCAGGCCCCCAACCAAGCTCCCAGTCCTTTCCAAATGAATCTTCCTGCTTCACCCATGTGCTTTTCTTCAGTCTCTGTGGTATTAGTACTAGCTGTCTCACAGCTACTGCTTCCTTCAGCCCTCTCACTGTGACAATCAATAGAAACTGGCAGGATTTCTAAAGAGCACATCTCGAACTTCTCTACTTACACAAAACAGAATGGGATATGATTTGGTTTTAGAAAATTAGCTAAGGGATAAGGACATTGGACCCCAGATGTCCCAACTCCCAGAGGCCCTGCCTTTGGTGGCGAGGAAAGGGGAAGGAGTGAGTGACAGTGCCCTGGCATCTTTTAGAAATGAATTCCTTTCTCTCCGTACATAAATGCCTGCAGAGTCCCATTTCAGAATCTGGCAGACAAAGCCACCAATGTGATCCCCATGACCTTATAAGCATTCATTAAAATGTATTTCAGGGCATGTGATGGCCTCCCCACCCCCTAAATAGTGAGAAACAAAGGTTTCCCTTCTGATAGAGACAAGTTCAGCTCTGAAGTCAACATTATTTCTGGTTCTGTCTGAACAATGACATATGGCAACTCTTCCTTTTCTGTATTTCTAGTCCAGAATGACAAAAAAGGGGAAAAATTTCTTAGAGAAGGTAGAGATCATAAGAATACAGTCCATGTTCATAAAATGAGCATAAGGAGAATAAAGAATATAACTTGAGACTCTTTGCAAGGAAGTCTGGCAGGCTGTTATAAATGCTTAATTTTAGACACTGTAGCTGTAGGTTTAACATGGACACCAATAAAAAGGCCAGCAAAGGGTATGCACTGTTCCTATTGGGCAAGAGGATAAGAGGTCAAAAAGGTAGCCAGGAAAGATGAACTCAGGGGGACTCATTTTCCTTCCAGAGGCCGCTGGGCATGCAGGTCTTGGACAAAATTGACACAAAGGTAAAAACCACCTGTGGCTTTTTTAGTCTACTCTTTTTGCATCACCATTTTGCTGGTTCTCCCAGTCTCTTCTCTTACACTCATACTCCATGAACAACTTTATTCCATATTGTTACATTTTCCCTGATGAATTTTGAAGCACCTGATGTTGGCCAACTAAATTAGATTTTGAGCCCTCTTAGGACAAGGATGATCTCTAGTAGACTATCTAAGAAGAAAGTAATGAAGATGTCATGAGGCATGATGGAGGTAGCATAGAATAGATAAGAAAATATTGTATCAGGAATGGGTTTGAGGAGACAGAGAGATGGGGGTGGGGAGAAAGATAGTGAGAACGAGGGAGAGAGAGTGAGAGAATGAATATGTCTGCATTTGCACATGGGATCACAGGAATATCCATATGTATAGTATCAATGCCTGTATTTGGGGATGTGTAATTTACATGTTTATCTTCAGCAGAATGTCCCAACAAACCGAAACCGACCTTTCTGTGGAACAAACAGGATTTTGAGCATTTCCAGAATTGTTAAGACATGAGGCTCTGGAGTATACCAGGGTGGTTGGGAATGGCAGGAAACCCTGAATGCTAATGCTGATTAGCTTCAAGAGGAGTCAGTTATGTCTCAGGAGCAAATCTCTGATAATGGGTGGTTTGGAGCAAGAACCTCGACCTACACATCGGGGATTTATTGGTGCCCTGATTCACCCTGGGCCAGCACTTGATGCAGGCAGAGGCAGGCTGGGTTGGAGGAAGGGCCAGGAATGTGCCTCAGAAGAACTTTCGTTAAGTCCTAGCTCCTCCATTTGTTGTGTGGCTGTGGGCAAGCCGCTCCCCTCCCTGAGCCTCAATTTCTTCTTCTGTAAAATGGGTACTTGGCCTACCACATGTGCCTCACAGCATCAGTGAAAGGTTCCATTGTACTCACTGAGGAGAGCACTTGGGTAGCAGTAATCACTACTGATGTAATTCTCAAGGCTCTGTGTCCTTGCTTTGGGCCTCTCTTGCTCTCTGACAAATAAGGATGCATTCACTAGGATTGGGGGATGGGGTGGAAGTAGGGAGAGGCAAGCCACCTAGTCCTGACAGCACTGACCTGACAGCCAGTGATGATGTCTTGGTGGCTGAGCCTGGAAACTCCTGCCTCATGCTCCTTGCCACCACCTGCCACTCTGGGTCCTGCCACAGTTCCCAGCCTTCAGCTACCCTGACCTGAGGGCTGGGGCTTCAACAGGCTTATACCAGAGCTATCTGAGCAGCAGCCTGGAGTGGCTGGAACAGCCCTGACAAAGGCAGAGATGAGCAGACCTGGGAGGGCAGTGTTCTAGGACTACTTCCTCCTTTTCTGTAGTGGAGACACACCAGTTGGAAGAATTGACAGCTCTAAGGATGACCCTCAACATACAGATGTATATGAATTTAATGAGCTCAGAATTTGTATTGTACCATCTCATGAGAGGAATCAATGTATTCTGCCCTTGACCAAGCATTTGTTGAGAGCTGGCCTCCAACTCCTAGGTTGTCAGAACTGCTGAGCCCTTCAAGACAGGCTGCTCCCACCCACTCATGTTAAGCCTGATGAGGCCTGTAGTCTGTTTCCCAGGAAGAAACCCTCACCAAGTCTTCTCCAAACACATTCCCATGTACTATTATTGGCGGGATAGAGATGATTACTCTTGGAAGAGAAACTCTGGATGGATTTGTTGGGTTGACCTATAGAGGAAGCAGGTGCTGCTGAGGGAGCTGTAGTAGAAGCTGAGGGTCAAAGGGGAGGGCCCCGTCCCAATCCAGATGACCCCGTTTCTGCTGGACCCACATTCACAAACTTAATTTGCATTTTGCTTGAATTTGGCTAATAAGGCTAAAATCACACAGGAAAAGGGAAAAGTGTAGGCAGAATCCAGGTAGGAGGCCTTCAGGGCCACTGGGCAGAGATCATTTAAGCCCAAACTTCTCACTTCTCCCTGGACTCTGCCTCTAAAGGACATAGTGCTGTGACCTCTTGTAGGTCTCTTTCACACTTGGGGCCTCAGTTTCCCCACTTGTAAAGTAAATGGGTCCCAGCTTTGGTAAGCTTATGCTTACCTGATGCTTTCTTCCTGGGCTGCTTTTGTAGAGAAAAGATAAATTTCCTTCTTCATCCATCCACGAGGGCTTCTTTCCCTGGGGGTGAGAGTAGGCTGAGGAGAGAGCCACTTGCACACACTCTTAAAGAAAGTATTACACCTGCACCAGCTCAGTGAGAGGCACAGATCAGACTGTTACTTGAATCAAATTATGAGCCTCCCTAAATATCTCCATGACATTTTAATAGGGAATTACTTGAACACAGACTGTGGGGCACAGGGTGGGGTGCACCTCTGGCCTTCCTCCGGGAACGAATTCCTCATGAAAATGACCTAGTAATAAAACTTTTCCCCTTTAAAAGATTGTTTTAATAAAGACTAAGTGGCTACAAAGAAACATTGCAGTGGACAAACAAGAAGGGCTGTACTGTTTCAGTGACTCACAGACATGGATTTCAGGGGAAAAAGTGCTAGGCTTCTTCCAAGGGCCAGGCTGCCAGACCACTCCTGTTCCTGAGTCGTTCCCTCTCCCAGCCCTGTCCTGCTGTCCACAGGGGACTAGCAATGTGAATCCTGAGAGTAGCAGGTCTGCACTTGTTGGATCAATAAGCTGTGCTTATTGACATATTCTATTAGAAAGTCCTACCAAGTCACCAGTCACCAGAAAGGCTGCCAGCTCTCCAACCACCTCCAAGGAACTATCCTTAATGGGGCCTTAACAAGCCTAAGACAGGGTTGGTTTGGGTCCCAAGCCAATATTTGCTTTGCTATATGTCAGTCACATGGGACCCAAACCAACACTCTCTTAGGTGCCTCACCAGGCACTGCAGGCATCCCAATTTCAAGTTTGGTTTTCTATGGTCAAAGTCCAGCATGCATTAAGTGAAGGGGTGGTGATGATTGAGTTAAAAGAGAACTCCAAACTAGTTTAATTCTTGGACGCACATCCCATCTCACCATGGTGCTTCCAACCTTCTAGAGATGATGGGTTCCTATTTTCCAATAACAAAGACCTCCACAGGAGTGCTGCCTCGCCACCAGGGAGTGCTTTGTAACTGAGACTGGCATCCCACTTTCAGTCCTCCAGCTGTGGCCCACCCCTACCCCATCCATTGGGTCTGGCCTGCCCTAGGCTCTTAGGTATGGCTGCATTGTAAAATGATGGCCACAGAGCTGGCATTTCCTATAGTGTAGTTCATCTAGTGCACTACCTCATAGTTAGAAGAAATTTGTCTAAGCCACTGAGGGTGGCTCTTAGTGCCAACTCCAAGACTAGGAAGCTTCCCTTTCTTGGGAGAAGGGGTAGATGGTAAGGCGGATGGTCTAGGCCAATGGGAGCAGGGAAACCACAGTAAGTACTGGGCCATAACACAAAGACTCCATGTGTGGCCTCCATCAAGTCCCTCTTCAAATTGCTTTGGCCTCCTCTGTCCCATGTAGGACTTCAGCGAGGGGCCTGGCTGAAGGCTATGAATTGTGTGGAGCTCCTCATTGCAGTCCCCAACCATCTGATGCTTGGAAAGTGTTACCAGGATGCAGCCATGCCATGTGGCCAATGAACCGAGAAAACACCCCTTTTCTAGAATGCTCTAAAGAGGCAGCATAATTCAGAGGTGAGGAAGGAAAGACACCACCAGGGACCCAGGCAGTTCCTACAAAAGCCAGACTTTCTTTCACCTAGGGAGTAACAAGACCAGTGGAAAACACTCTAGGCGGCCCTGGGCTATGCCTGACCCTGTCCTCAGCTTTCTACACCTCCACCTAGAGCTCATGTACAGAAGGAGCATCCAGGAAAGCTGCAACTGTAGACTCACCTCCAGGGCCACCCAGAGAGATGGAGGGCACCACACTGGTGGCTCCAGGCCCATTTAGTGGGTCATATCTTCACACCACAAGGCCCCAGATTTGGCTGATAAGGGCATATTGGACAGGGGGCACTTATGCTGTTCCCCATTGCCACCAGGCCTCTGGCTACCTGTGTATACTCTCACAAGTGCCACCATCTTGGCTGAGCCTCCAGATGGGAGGTCCCTGAGGCAGTGGCAGGCTTCTTGCTAATGCTGATGGGATAAGAAATGGGATAGGTGGGGAGGGCCCTAGACTGGGTCCTGAAGAATCAAGTGGGTTTTTAGAGGAGTTACTGGTGCGTTTCAGGGACAGGACACCTGGCACAGCTAAGGTGGGGAAATAGGGAGCCATTGCTAATCTGAGAGCTAGAAACAATCAAGTTCTGGGTCATTATTAATTAGGGTAGTTTGAGCTGTGTGGAAATCACGTACTGTGTGGGGTAGCCACAGCTCTCCTTCCAGATAATCTCTAAGACTTCTGATTGGCACTGTGTGAATGCAGTAGTAATGTCTCTTCTTGCTGCCAGGCCCTGCCAGTCCTGCCTCCATGCCCCAGATGGCTCCCCTCATGATTTGACCCATTCCAGGCTTCCATAGTATGTTACTTCTGCACTAGCACTCTTTGGGACTTGTCTCTCCATTGTCTCTCAGACCTTAAAGGACTATACAACCCCAAGGGGCTCTTCCCAAGATAATTGATATGACTTGAGGTAATTCCATTTCTGGAAGCAGTCACTTCATTTTCTGCCTTGCTCTTTCAGTGCTTCACAGTGCAGGATGACACAGGTGCCATCATGGTGAGGATCTTTGTTCAGGGGAATGTGACCTTCACCAGGGTGGCCCAGATAAACCCAGTGGTTTTGTGGTTGGGAGTGGGAGTGCCTTCCCAAGAGCAGGACATGAGACTGGACATGGAAGCCTGTTTCTGGGCTCCATGCTTGTTGGATTGGCCCCATCAGATGAGTGGCAAACTTGCCTGTAGGCATCCTACTCAGGGCACACAATCCCCTGCCCAAAACTATTGGAATGACAAGGCACAAATGACTGTTCTGGTACTAAGCACTTTATATGCATTTACACAGTTATCTTTATAACTCTATGAGACAGATATCACCATTATCATCTCCATCTTAGAAATGAAGACCAGAAATGTCTGCAGTTCAGAGATTTATCAGGGAATCATCTCCAAATTGGTGGGGGCTGGAACTTGAGTGTGAGTGGTTAGAGAACAGAAGCAAAGATTAGTCTTGCCTACCTGCCTTCCTTCCTCCTTTCCTCCCTCCCTTCTTCCCATCTTTCTCCCATCTTCCCTTCCTCCTTTTCCTTTTGTTTTAGTAAGGGACACCTGATTTATAAGTAGACCTGAAGAATGACTTTGGAATACTTACTAGGTGACAGGCACAGTGCTAAATGCATTTTAGGCTTTACTTTAATGCTCCCAGTGACTCAAGGAAGTCAGTACTAATATGATCACCCCCACCCTCATTGTACAGACCAGGGTGCCCAATTGAAGAGAGGGAGCGTCACTTGCTTAAGGGCATGTGGCTGGCTAAAAAGTGATGAAACCAGGGACTGAACTTGGCTTTGTCAGCCTCCAGAGCCCTGCCCTCAAGCAGAAACAGGGCTTGGAGGAAATAGGCAAAGGTGGAATTCAGATGGTAGGGAATGGTTGAAGGAGAGCTAGAGCTAGAGAAAGAGACAGACTACACCAACTTCCTCTACAAGCAGAGGAAATAATAAGAGCAACCAGTTACCAAGCCCCTGCTTCAGTCCTGTTAACTACATCAATTCCTTTCATCTTCAACATAACTTTATGAGGTTAGAAATTGGGGTACTGAGATGAAAAGGCCTTTGGTCCAGGGCCTCCTGGGGAACACACAGTGACAGACTGTCTGGAAGGGGCAGTCAGGAGATACCCTTGCTGCACCCATGCACCCTCTACCTCCTTTCCTGACATGATAAAAAAACTGACCCCATTTGGATTGCAGTGGCAAGGTCAGGAACCAAGGTGACAGTCCTCCCCATTGCCAGGACACCAACTAGAGTAGTTTAAATGGGGCAAAAAAAAAAAAAAATAGTTGCTATGAGACTATTTAAGATCCACTCTCATAGTAAATTTCAAATATACAATACAGTATTATTAAATATAGCCACAGTGCTGTACATTAGCTTGCCCAAATTTATGCATCCTGTAACTGAGAATTTGTGCCTTTTAACCGACATCTCCCCATTTCACACCCCACACCCTGCAACTTTCAGCAACCAGCCTTCTGCTGTTTCTATGATTTTAAAAAAGTTCTATGAGTTCAGAAACAAACGTAACTAGGAAGTTACGGATGGATGCATTGACTAACTTGATTGTGGTAATCATTTCACTACATACGTATATCAAATCACCACATTGTACACTTTAAATATTATACATTTTTAATTTGTCAATTATACCTCAATCAAGCTGGAAAAAATAAAGAAAAAGAAAAGAAAAACAGTTGCTAGTTAATCAGAGCCTTCTTTTCTATACTGAGGTGTGTGGGTCTCTAGTTTTGGGACTGAAGCTTATATAATCTGGGGCCCTCTTTACGAAACACAATATAAAGTTAAAACAAAATTAGGTACCAGGACTGAGAAGGCTTGAGGGACGAGCTTTAAAGCTTAGGCCTGAGGTGACCTTACCCCTCTTTGTGCCCCAATAGTAGGCTAAATAAAATGGCAACAAGCCATGCAGAAAATTTCTCTCCTTGAGAAATCCAACTGCTTTGTAGGTGGGAGAAGATTCCAGAGACACCCAATTAGTTCAGTACATTCTAGAGGGGCATCCTGTCTATGACCCCTTCCTGCTAGGACACACCAGAGATGCTGCTATCATTGGCCATATTTAAAACAATTTCTGTCCAGAACATTCCTCTGTAGCTGGGCAGAAGGGTCACATGCTTACTGAATAAGCACATTTTAGCTCCTGAGTGCCAACTTTTAGCCAGCAGAGATATCGATCCCACTTCGTACATTCAGAGTCAGGCTGGTGAGCTCTGATGCTGTAGCAGCTGAGACTTGGAGGGACCACGGGATGAGAAGTCAGTCCAAAAACTCTTCTCATGGCCTAGGTCCTCTCTTTTTAAATCGAGGTAAAATTGACATAGCATGAAATCAACTTTTTAAAAGTGTACAATTCAGTAGCATTTAGGACATTCACAATGTTGTGCAATTGGCACCACTACCTAGTTCCAGAACTTTTTCATCATTCCAAATGGAA